GGTGTCAGGAGGTTTCGGGTTAAGCGGATGCGATATTCGTGTTCAGCGGGTCGAACTACCCCTGGAGCCAAGTTTTCAGCAAATTCTGCCCACGGAAAAAAGTCGGTCAGGAACTGGCCTGATTTCGGATGACTGGGGCAGTAAAGGGTAAATAGTGCCCTGCGGGGAGGAGAGAGGAGGTATATACCCAATGTGAAACAGGAAAATTTCTCAGATTTTCCCTAACCTCCTACCAGTTTTCCGAAATTTCCCGAAAAATTTCTGGTTTTTCCCCAAAATTTTGCTGTCGAGCGGGAGGGGAGAGGTCGTCAGGATTTAACTATCATTTTCAACTATCGGAAATAGTAGTTGTATAGATCTTTGGCAGTCCCTCTCCCAACAACGACCAAATACGACCCCCTTTATAGCGTCCGTGAAACAAGAGAAATCAACTATCAAAAAAAATTTTCTCAGACCAAATACGACCCCCCTCCCTCGCGGTCAAATACGACCCCCCCCCTCGTTGTGATCATCACAACGATGGCGTGCCTTGCCTCTTCCCCTTAGTCGGTGGCGCGACAAACTTGTGTTTTTATAACTGAAATTACTGTTTCCTCGCCTCTTAGGCTCTCTCAGAGAGAGTCGCACTTGGGAACCCCATTTAGAAAAAATTTAACACAACCCGATGATATGTTACGTGTCGAATGCGGGGCACATCATTGCTATAGGTTGCGGATTTTGATCGAATCCGTGCCCCCCACTCTTTTTTCACGGGGGTTGGTACGGCCCCTTCTGGCCTGGTTCCCTCTCCATTGAGCTGTCGAGCGGGGAGGGAGAGGGTTTAGTACACATGAAACATTAAACAGGCAAGAAAAACCACGAAAGGTCAGCAACCTTTCTCAGAAAGGCTCATAGGGAAATACGACTCTCCTCCCTCAAAACAACAAGCCACTAAGACCCCCCCCCTTCCATAGCGTCCCTGGAACAAGAAAAATCACCTATTAAAAAATTTCTTTCTCGACCCGAATACGATTTCCTGGTTGGGGAATCCCCAACACGATACGCCCTGGTCGAATGTCGTTCGTTGTCCAAATGGGTAACGCGCTCCACAGACAATTTCTGCTCTACGGCTACATACACAAACAAAAAAGGATTAGATGTCCCGGACCCTATGTGAAATCTTCGCCTCCTACCACTTCGCCTGCCTTTCTAGATATCTTCAATTGATTTCTTGATGAGAAGGTGACAAAGAAGGAGGAGGGCACCGTAGCAGAGCCAGCGGATGTGGTTGGTACACGAAACCTGTCCCATCGAAAGAGTTCCCATTCCTTTTGAAAACTCCATTTTGGTTTGCATGTAGTGTCTTCGACGTGGGAATTCGTCATCATCACAAAAAGTGTAATTCTGTTGCAAGAGGCGGTGGGGTAGGACGAGTTTTCGTACGTCGCATGCAATAGCACGTACTTTGGACTTTGTCTCCTACACTGTTCCGTATCATTTTGGTCACACGTGACGCTGACATCGTACGCATCCTGGCGTTCTTTCATAAGACAGTATCTCTGTCATTTTCCCCAGTGATTTTATATCAATGTCTGGTTTTATCTCAGGAACTGTGTTTTTCGCTGAGCTTACTTAGCACAAATAGTGAACATTTGTGCATGTGAGCGTTTCTTCTTGAACAACTTGGACTTTTAAGGAGAGGAGTCCTCATTATTTTATTTCAAGGCGACTTGTTAACAGCTATAGAACAGATCCTGAAATTTCATGAAAGAGGGCTAATGCTAGTACATACCAAAGGAACCAAAGCACGAAGGACAAGCAAACCCAGCGAATATTATTATTGTCATATTGTTCCATCGGTATCCCCCCGGTCCAGTTATGAAATCTGTTTATTGCTTGATCAGGTTTATTGAACACTTCATGAAAACAAGGAGCTACTCCAACACATGACATAGGCTTCTTTCAAAACACCGAGGTATTTTGGTGTAATAGTTCGTCAGATTGTGGTAATCCCAATTTTGCACAAAGGTGCACCTTCGAAAGCTAAGTTTGCGACGAACTTCCCTCCCAAGCCATTTACTCGGTTTTTTCATAATAAAGATGAAGTGGTAAGGGTAGAAACGATTGCTAGCCAAGAGAAAATCTTCAGTCTTAGCAATCTTCCAAGGTGAAGAAAAGGCTCCGTAGCGTTGGTAAAGACCTTCAAACTGCCTAGAGTTTCCTTACCGAGAATACTTTGGCAAAATGCTTTCTCCTATATGGTTTATAGTGGAAGAAAAATGTTTGACGCCTACCTCATCCGGTGGGGGGGGGTGCTCAACGACGCCTCCGGGTCTGTCTCCAAACCAAGGCTTATAGTCTGCTGCCGTTGGGAAAATTTTCACAAAATACGACTATCTCTCGAAATTCGCTTCACTGAGACGACTCCCACCCCTCCCCCCTTTACTCGATTCTACCCAGCTTCCTTCCACTTGTGTGAAGTTTCTTTTCTACAGTCCCTCCACTTCCCTACTCTCCCACCCCTCCCCAAAAAAAAACTAAAACTGGCCTCAGAGCGGGGGGGGGTGCAAAAAAAACAAACTTCCTTCGAGTGGGGGGTGGTGCACATACACGCGCTTGAAACAGGAGTAAGCGAGAGAAGGCAACAAACGAGAACATTGTTCTAATGGCAATATGGTCCCTTCAGCGACCAAATACGCCCCCCATTCGCTGGGGATCCCCAATGTACGACGTGTCCTGTTTATGGTTAGCCTTAGCGAAGACTGTCTCCTCTGTGGCTTTCTTCAGCGGCTCTGGTGGTCTGCTCATTGAAGCTAAGCCTAGGGGAGGGACAAAGGAGCGGCCAAATGCCCCCTCTGAGTAGGTCCCTGCCAAATTTTTGTGGCGGCGAGTTGGGTTTTCTGCTCCAGAAGTGTACTGATGTAGTGCCGAAAACAGCACTACCGTTAGCAGTAGTTGTTCTGTAGCACAAATTGTGCGGATCAAGGCGGGTTTCCTTGGACGAGTTTCTCTTCGCTCTTATCAGTTCAACTGGGGCGCGTACTTTGCCTTCTAGTCAGAGAAAGAGATCTGAGAGATTCCTCTCTCATAAATCGATCCTTGATAGCGTTCATTTCTTCTTTGTTGGTGTTCCTTCAGAGTTTCATGATCTCCTTGAAATGCCTCTTCTTTAATTACTACGCATAGCGATTTTTCCTCTTTAAACTTTATTACAGGTATGCTACGACTGGGTGGTTCCATCCAATCCGTCCGCTGTTTGGCTACCGCTACCGCAGCGGCGGTCAAGAAACCGGCCACTACTGGAGCAACGGGGCCAAATATTGTACTTGTCGATGCTGTTAGGTTGGTATTGTTGTTTCTTCCCTGTAGCCCTACAATGAGAGTTTTCTTCCAGAACTCCTTTCGCTGTTTCCGGCACGGTGTTCAAGGACCTTTGGGCAGTAGATCTACAAAGGGAAGCCTTGAAAGGTAGGAAGACCCATACTATGTTTTCCTCACATTAAATACGTTATA